TAAATAGTCTCTCTTTGAAGGATAAGGCCATCTTGTTCAGTCTTGATTAAACACCAGCTTACAGGCATGGGAACAAACTCAAGACTACACAAAGTGCATACAGAGTTCACTGGAGTCCTCGGGCTGTGCCAGGGAGAGACTAATGACAAAGTACGACTGGAACACCGGAGTGAGATGACAGAATTCTGTTTACTTAGAAATCCTGAAACCCAAGGCAAGTTGTTTTATAAAAGAAACGCCCCATGTAAAGTTCCATGGTATGAGAAATGACAGGGAACTGGTGCCAAAACGTAGCATGATCTGTGAAAATCATCAGATGCAAAATTTTGTATCATGCAACATCTTTTTATATGCAACTTGCACCGAACTGGACAGTCCCACTGCTGTTTAGTACATCAGGCAGTGTGATGCAGTATAAGAACAAAATTTGCTGTTGCTGCCTCATTTCATTTATTAGCTCCCTTCATGAGCCTCCAGTGTAGGTATATGGGAGACAGAAATGCACCAAGCTGTACTATTTCACAGCTGAACATGGTGATATAGGCTCACCTTGACAGTCACTGCCGTCTTCTCCAGGGCTATCACTAACACAAGAATGGACTCCAGGAGGCTTTGACACATCACTGATCAAACTAGTACTCTGTTCTTTCATAGCAGGCTCTTTCAACTCTTACTATGATGAGAGCCACATAAGGTCTGAAGGAGATGTTGGAGGGTCCTCCATGATAAGAGACCAGCTAGGTAACAAAATGAAGAATTATACAGCCTACTGAGGCAAGCTTTTCTGAAGCTTCTGTGGTGATTAAGTCACTCCTACTCCTATAGGAGTACTCCAAGGTGAACTTTCACTCAGCTGTTTATATTCTCCCTAATACAAAGACCAAACAGATGCTTTCAGTCTGAATGATTTTTTTTAAACTATAGATTAAAGAAAACCACAAGAACAAAATTAAAGGTTCCATGTGTTACCCTTCTGTGTGTGTGTATGCGCGTGCGCGCATACTCTGTGACAATCTGTACTGCCCTCAACACAAAATGTCTGCCACACATCAAAGCAGAAGCATCGGAAATGTTAGACACTTAGATAGCACACCATATATTAAAATAGTGTTCTTTATGTCCAGTGTTTTATCTCTAAACAAGGTTCTTTAAAAAGCTTCTTCCATGTTTCATTTTTTAAAAAAACAGTATAAGCATGACAAAAAGTGTTGTCTGAAATCTGTCTTCAATAGCGGTCGATGAGGATTTCCTTATTCATGCCAGTTGGTGGGCTGTTTGTGTGAAGGTTCACTGTACTTTCATGAGCAATACTAATTCCTTGGTATGAACAAGTGGGGAGGAAAAGCTGGATTGACAGAGGCAGTTACCAGAGATCATGCTTACACATGTTTGTTTTCAGTAATTAGTACAGTGTTAATAGCAATATCCACTTTGTGCAAATAAGCAGTCTTTACTTAAACAGTGGGCCATATGCTCTGATGGGTGTCGAGGTGGGGGAGTTGATAATAAAACTAAAACTTTTGTGAAATTTTGCTTAATTTAATTTAAAATTGCCATTTTTCATATATCTATTTAAATGTCAGTTACATTTTGCAATATTTTCCATTTGGCAACAGCATTTTGAATGTGACGAAACATCAGAAAGAAAAGACAGGCATACATGTATATCCGCATATGCACATGTGGCTAGAGAGACAGATTTTTCTAACATGTGTGCCTAAAGTTAGGCACTGACATATGGATAGCATGTGAAAAAAGAATTAGGATGTTGGTGTCAAAACATAATTTAGAGGGTATTTTTTTTATAACATGTTGCTTTTTTATTTTCAAAAAGTACAAGATGGTTTGCTTCTGAACTGCAAAAGCAACTGCTGCATTTGCAAGCATTTATTATTTTGCAGAGATTTGATAAGGCTAATATTAGTAACAAAGCGGGAAATCTGTTGAGTTGTTAACTTGCTTCTTAGGCTCTGGCCTGTTTTGTTCCTGTTAAGTGTAATGGAGAAACTTCCTATATGTTATGCAATTCTGTTCAGCTATATTGCTGTCTATTTTTTTAAAATAGTAAAACTGATATTCATTACAACTTCAGACAGAAGCCTTTTATTGAAGGAAATTGGGAACTTTCACTTTAAAAAGGAAACTTTTGAGGCTAGCCCATATTTTCACTAGAAATTGACTATTTTGTTGGTGGTTTGGATTTTTGTGTGGTTGTTTAGTTTATTGGTTGTTGCCTGTTTGCTTGTTGGGTTGTTTATTTTAGGAAACTTTGTAATTTTCCAGCATGGTGGTGTTGGTTTTACATGTGTGAATCATTAGGTACCAAGCAAGTCACTCTTTCACAAAGGCACAGATGATTTAAATGTTAACTTGCATACGAGTCCCACCTACCTTGATACCCATTGTAAATCCGCTGATTGCCTCTATGTGTGCAGTAGGTGTTGATGAAAAATGAAGTTGTTACATAAGTCATAAGCCCAGGTGAAAGAACTGTCTGATA